TCTCTCTTTCCTTCCTTCCTTCCCTTTTTCCTTCCTTCCTTCCTTCCTTCCTTCCTTCCTTCCTTCCCTCCTTCCTTTCTTCTTTCCTTCCTTCCTTCAATTGTTTGTTGACTGATTTAGAGTAGAAGAAATGCTATTCCTGGTCCTAGTAAAGTATAAGCTCTGTGAAAGCAGAGATTGTGTCTGCCTGAAAACAGAGAGTGGTTCACAGAAGCTTCCCAATCAATACTTGCTGAGTGAATGGCAGTGGCTTTCTGAGGCTAGTGTGGGGTCCCTTACCCTTGCAAGACTGATCCTTTGCCCTTGGACCTTGCATGGAGCCTAGCTTTGGACATCTTCCATCACTCTGCTCAGTGACCCATGTCTTCCCAAGCTCACTTCACGGCCAACAGCCTCTCTCAACAACAGACCCCCTATCTCATGATCTCATCTCCTCACTCTGTCACCGGCAAAACCTCACCTCAGGTTCAACATATTTGGGAAGGATTGAAATAAGCCAATATTAGCTTCAACTAAGAAGTGGAAGGTGGGGGTTGTGGAAGCTCCACAGTGGTGATCGCCATGATCACATGACTACATTGTACCAGGTACTGTACTAACCACTCTGACTCTTTATCCTGTAAACTCAGTATTATTACCTCTATTTTCAGTAAGACAACTGAGAGTACCTTGTATGAGATCACATAGCTGGTACACCACAGAGTCAGGATTTAAACCCATATTGGTCTCACTCCAAAGTTGCCAGGATTAGTACACTTTTACAGTGGTCATTGACTTGACCCAAAGGATGTTTAGGGCTGCAAAGACAAGAGAGCAAAGCCAAGGGGTACAGATGCATCCAAAACCTTTCCTAAGGTTCATAGAAGACATCTACTCTACCTGTTCATTCAGGGACACTGCTCCATAGATGTTCGGTCCCATATTTCCTTCCAACCCTTGTCCTTCATCCAGATACATTTCAGGGTTAGTTTTCTGTAGTAAAACACACAATTGAAAATTCACTTCATGTTTCCCAATCTGGATTCTAAGTTTGAAATAAGGACTAACTTTCTCTCTATTTCCACCAAGAAGGAGGTGGAGGAGGAAAAGTAAGGGGAGGAGAAGGAGGAAAGCACCACTTGAATTCCTGACCATGTTTATTGGAATTAAAGCTAGTATGATCTTGGGTACCAAGTACTTGGAGAAGTCAATGTAGCTGTTGTTACCTGAAGAAACCAAGGTATAGGAAAACCATAGTCAACTTGACATCTGAGGAAGTGTGTTCAAGCTTTAGTACCACCACTGCTCAGCTCAGGGGAAGTGTTCCTCCAGTAGCATGCCCTTCCCTCAACAGATTCATTGAGGTAACATTTGCAAAAGCCTCCTACCATCCTAAGGGACCAAAAGTGAGCCCTGAGTGTTCCTGGAGCCACACCAATTAGCTGAACAGTGGTAATCTATATTAAAGCACAAAGACGCACATGACTAATCAGGTGAGTGACCTTACCATACAGAAACCCTAAGGGAGAGACACAAACTAAATGTTTTATTTTCCTCATTAATAGTAGAATCAGGGTTACTGTAATGATGTAATTAAAAAAATCACTTCGTAGCTGGCGGCTTTTATCTCACATTCCTCCAACTTAGAGAGTGGAACACAGATGTGAGCCTCACTTCCTGCTCTGAACAAAATCCAAGAGCCTTCCTATAGGTCCCTTGCTGTCCTGGCATTTAGCCCAGCTGCCAAATCTCAAATGTGTGCAGGATCCGTATGAGGAAAGTGATGCTAATTTTAATCTCTATTATATTGGATTAGACTAACTAACAATGGGTCAGACTAGCTCAGCCACTGCTCATAGATTGATTGACTAAAAGCACTTTGGGATTAAATTGCCATATTTTCTGATACGTTTAAGCAGATCTCCTCAAACCTGCTAAAGAATAAAGCTTCTTGAAGCTGCATAGAAAACATGACCACAGAAAAGAAAATCTGGGGGCCCAGGAATGTTTGGTGGCCTCTTGTTCTCTTAGATGACATGCTGAGGTGCAAAAACCCAGAGTGGTGATGGTTTTGTACCAACTGGAAAGGGCCATCTGGCTGCTCACCAGCTATCCCTTCTAGCACCAGATGTAGAGTTTCCATTCATACAATAACTCAAAATGCTAATAGGAGAAAGGCCTTAGGTCATCAATCCCAACCTCCTCTCCTTTTGTAGATGGGAGAGCGAAGGCCAGAGAGGGGGTGCCAGTCAGCTAGGGAGCAGCAGAATCACATAGAGAAACTGGGTCTCCAGATTCCTAGCTAGTTATTCCTCTCACTATGTGTTGCTATGGTCCTTGGAAAACATGCACAAGGGGTCATTTTCCACAGAAAGGAAGTCGAGTTGTAACAATCCAGGGTACAGACTTTATAGACAGAGTGACTCTGTTCTAATCCAGCCCTGTATAGAAGTTGGGTGACCATAGCAAAGCACTTAACTGCTCTGTTCTTTAGTTTCTCCATTTATAAAATGGGAATGCCATGGCTAGTGCATAGCTCATAGCATTTTGTGAAGATTAAATGAGTTTATATGTGTTTAGCATTTAGAATCACACTTGCCACATAGAGAGCACAATGTAAATACATGTTACCATCATCATCCTAAGCAAGCTGAGCAGCCTTTATATCTGCTAAGTTACCCTCACAGTTTCCACTCTATGGAACACTCAACTGAAGTTTAACTGTGGTTATAAACCCTCTGCCCGATAGTAATGAACATCTTATTGCACCTGCCACACAGCACCAGAAATACTCATTTCTCTTTATGATTCTGCCTCCTTCTCTCTCTGTACCTCACCCTTCATGCTTTGCCTTCCTCATATACTGCTTTTTTCTGCTGTTTTAGCTATATCCAACCTTGTGCTGGTAGCATGACATCCAAAGCAATGCTTAAATACACTGGTAGAACTTGGGATAAAGTGATTCCTACACTAAAGCTCTCTGTCTCTCTAGTGTGGGGCTTATTAGGTCTTTAGTTGTCTCTTAAGTTAATGTCAGCATCATGAATTAGACAAAGACACATACACATATATAATTAGTTTAATGTAAGTCCTCTCTATCTTCTTCAAAAGATAAATGATTTAGATGTTTTAATGAGTTTATAAAGAAATGAGCAATGCAGATTCATTAAACATATGTTTCTATAAAAGTATCTATCTATAGATAGATATAGAAACATATATGTCTTTCATAGAAACATATATGTCTAAAAATCTGCATCGTTCATTTTTTTATAAACTCATTAAAACATCTAAATCATTTATCTTTTGAAGAAGATAATATAGAGAATTATTCTGAGCTCCAACTGGGGCATTTTTCAACTCAGTACATTCTGTAGGTCAGTGTGGTCCTTTAAGATGTATGTCTTGACTGATGGAGGCCCCAGAGTCAGGCTACTTTTCGTAAATATGTATGGAACCTTCATGGGGATGATAGCACTTAGCTCATGCCTGGATCCTGCCCTTGTCTGTGAATACTTTATAACAAAATTGCACAGGAGTATGAGCCAGACTCTCAAGCCAGAAAGTGAATGTGAATCTTTAGTCAATAGGAGATTTGTGTACATTGGAAACCAGAGGAAGAAAAAGTATCCATATGGAAATCCCTGGGCTTGGAACAGTTACATGCTCATTGCTGAAGCGAGAGGCCTATATTTCCCCAAGCAAAAGGTTAGCACCAGCCTCTTCATAGGCAAGGCAGGGATCCACACCATCACACTGACAAGCCAGCCAAATGACTACGGTTCTGTTTTGAGGAGACCCTGCACCAACTATGCTTCTTCAAGTAATCATGTTTATTTCCAATAAGCCTATTTGCTTCTGAAAGCAAGCCCTGGCTTAAGAGGGCAAAAGAGGCATGCTTGTCTTGTCTGCAGCTCCTTTTCCTTCTCACTGGCTCTACAGGAATGCCTCTGGATGACTTCTTACCCCCTGTCTTATATTTAATTCCACATTCCCTGGAATATTCTCTGCTTGCTAGCTGCTGGTCTTCCTTATGACTCCAAATTCTTATGGCTTGCAAATAAAGGTGATGGAGGAATGCAGAGGTGAATTAGACCCTGATACAAATGCTCTGGGTCCTTAGAACAGGCTAGGACAATCCCACTTCATGTGATTTGTCTTCTTGAGGGTGGCAAGTGAAGTGAAAGGAGCAACACTTGTGACTCGATGGTCTTGTTTTACAATGGAGCATGGGTGACTCACTAGGGCACGTAAAAGTGCCAGAGAGACCAGAAGAGAGGGTAGAGGGAGAACTCCATCAGGCCACACCATTAGGTGTCAATTTGAACAGAACACAGAGTTTTCTTTGTGGCCTTCAGAGAGGCCCTGCTGACTGCTGCAATAAACCTCATCATAGTCATTAAAACTCTCAAATATAATTATCAGTTCTTCCTCAGCTACCTCCGCGAGAGCCTCCATGATACCTCAGTTACACATGATGAACAGTTGGCCACACCAACACCTAAAATCCTGTTGCTCACAAAATGTTTCCATTCCTTTCTCTTTCTTTCCCCTACCTGCTTCTCTCTACTATCGACTGTCCCCACACCCCATGCCTGCCGTCTCCTTTCTATCCCTGTCTGTCCTGGACACCATCTCCACAGTTAGAGGTACTGCTTATGAAGTGACAATCAGGTCCTGCCATACCACTTAGCCCTGTCTGCTGCCCTAACTTTTTAGCCCATAGGCCTAACTGGATGACAATCCCTCCTCTACCCCTTTTATTTTTTTAAACCCTTTGAGAGCAGGCTATAGTGGTTAAGGTACTTCAGTGAGTTGCCCTTTTGGGTTTCTAAATGCTCCCGCTAGATGTTTTCCATTTGTCCTGATTTGGAAGGATCAATGGTGGGACGTGGGAGATGGGGGGATGCTCACAGAGAAGCATGTCTATATATATATATATATATATATGCTTATCAGGGAATAAGTATGGTACCCTTTGGGTTCATGCTAATGGATCTGTCTCTCTTTCCCCTACACAGGGCCTGGAGCAGTCATTGATGGTGTAAACTCGGCTTCTAGAGCACTGGCTTGTCTCTGGCTATCAGGGACCCTCTTTGCCCACTTCTTCATCAAGTTTTGATAAGAAATCATAGGTCCTCTGAGCAACGCCTGCTTCTCCATATCACAGACTTTAATCTACACTGCGGAGGGCAAACCAGTTTGGGCTTTTTGTTTGTTTGTTTCTGTTGTTCTTCTTGATTTTTTTTGGGGGGGTTGATTTATTTGATTTTTTTTTTCTCCAGTTTGAATGAGTGGTGTTGGGAGGAGGGGTGGGCAAGGTTCTACCATGTGTAGGGTAATCATTCACTGGTGTGTCCAAAAATGGAATCTGTCCCTGCTACCTTGGCCTTTCCCTTTCCTCTGCTCCTCTCCTCATCATCCTCACTACCAGCCTCCCTTCCCCCCCACACACCAAACCATAAGCTCCATTTGGGCAAAAATGTGCCTCATGATAAACACCCTGAAGACACAACTTGACTTATAATGTAGTACACAGCAAGAGTTATATCCAAGTGTCCTATTATCTGTGTCTTTTAAGCTTTGGGCCATTTTCCTTATTATAATGTACATATCCCTCCCTCCATGCTTATTATTATCTAATTACATTCGGGTTCACATCCTTTCTTTCTGGGAATGTATCTCAATATACCCATATCCATCTATATATATATATTTTTTTTTTTTTTCCTTGTCTCCTTCTCTAGCCACTCTGCCCTATTAGCCTTCTCCATCGGCTATAAGGATTAAAGGTTTGGGGCTATGCACACAACCCAAAAGTAAAAGTTTAGAAGTCACTTGGCCAAAAAAGGGGGAAACACTTTGAGGATAGTACTCTTTAAAAAATGTTGTCTAACTCATTAAAAAAAAAAATGATCCATAGATGACTCTTTAAAAAATGTTGTCTAACTCATAAAAAAAAATGATCCATAGATGGCTGATTATTTAGGGTTTATCAAGCTATTGAAGCAATCATACGGTTATCCATTTACTCAATTATTTGATTTATCTCTCCCTCCAATTATCTACCCACCCATCTTCCTCTGTAGCAATCTATTTACTCCGTTTATCAATCTATCAATGTAATTATCTAACACTTCTTTCTATTTCTTTCCCTAATACTCACTATCAATTCATCACCATATTAATTTCTAATCATATCATGTCTATTCCATTGTATTCATTTCTACTCTACCTTCAGCAGACATTGGCATCTTCAAAAATACCTATCAACTTTCTTGTGAAAGCCAGTGGTCTCACAGGCTAACAGCATAGAAAAGCAATATGTCAAGGACTCTTTGGAATGTGGTATCCTATCCATCCAAAGTAGTTAACAGATGGACCAAAGTAGCAATCTAAGGATCAGTCACTCACTATTCCCAGAAGAGACTGTGTTTCCAAAGGCATCTTCTTGGGAAGCATATCAGCCCTGGAAAAGCCTTGATCAGTACTGTGGGTTTTTTTTCCCTTTCACACTTGAAGGACCAAGGTGGCAAGCTTCATGTTTCTCTCAACCTTTCAAGAGAGTGTATGTCGGGAACCCATGGGACTTACTCCATGGCTGGCTTTTCTTAATAGCAAGAACATAGAGAAAAAACACATTTCTGTCCCTGTAGTGTGAAGAGAGCAGTCCACCTGTCTGAGTGCAATGACTTCAGCTATTGTCTCCTCCCTGTTCCAGTTTTGGTTTAATCTGTTTGAAAACTATCCAGTAAAAAGCTGATGGAAGCCAATTACATGGCGGGTGTGTTGACAACTCTGGTATTTGTTTCAGGAAGCTCTTCTGAGCTGAGGGCACTTGAGCAACTGACTTAATTTCCAAGCACTTGATTAACACAACACTGCAAACAGGAGGGGAACGTGTAAATGACACACAGTTTCCTCTGATATAGGCTGCTTCTCCAGTGGCTCTGGGGAAGAATGTCCTCAGTGTTCCATGTTCAAATCAGATCCAGCAGACAAATAAGAGCGGACTGGACTTTTTTGCGTCATCTCCTGGGACAAGAAGGACTCAGCAAGGGTGCCTATAATCCGAAAGAATGGCATTGAAAACCATGCAAAGTTGTGCCCCTCATTACCTGTACCACAGGGACTGACCTACTGAGAGGATGAGAAATAGCATCAATGGTGACTGTCTCACAGACCTGCCCTGCCTCAGTTGGAAAACTTTCACGTCCACAGTCTAAATAAATATGAGCTTTATAGAGCTCCATTCTCTTAATGCTTAATTGACCTTCTTCCTCCAATATAAATTGCTTCTTTGTTTTGTCCATAATGGCACATGAACATGACATACACAGAGGGGGAATATATTCTTAGATATATATACATGCATAAATAGATACACAAATTCAAAGGTAGGCAGTCTTGGCATACAAAATGCTAGGGACTTTCATAAAAGTTGGAGCTGGTACGAGTGGAATTAATATTACATTTGCCAGCTGTAAACAGACATCTGCATTTCCTAGTGAGCTGCCAGGAGCCAGATTCTGGAACATAAATGACATGCCAAAAGCAGTGTATTGATTCCAAGTTCCAGGGACAATCAGGAGCAGACGCAAAGTCAGAATTAAAGGTCGGACATCAATGTTTCAGATCTGTCATCACGTTCAGCACCTGGAGTCGGGTTGGTGTCAGACATTGTATGGGAATTAAATGTGTCATTTGAGTGTTCTACTGATAATAAATGTGTTACTTTGGAGTAAAATAAATGTGGAGGTTCTGGGGAGTGGATGGTCTTGGAGAACACAGCGCTTGAAATGGACAAGCTACACATGTCCTTCATGCCAAGACTTGTTCTAGAGGAAGGGACCCATCCTTCTTTGACCAGGAAGATCACCAGAACTTGTTGAATACAATAATAAGGCTGGGTCTCAGTGTAACTATGGAACTCTGTGCTGCCTTCTTCCACTGGATATCAGGAAACATTTCTGGTGATTGCCTATTTCAGCCATGTTTCAGAGGGAAAAAAATCCTACAGTCAATCCTCATCTGTCTGGGATCAAGAAAACCAAGTAAATAAGACCCAAGGAAACTGGGCACTAGGAAAGAAAATGGCTCTTCATCGCTTTAGACATACTCCAGCTTCTGTGTTGTTTGGGTTACTTTTGTGGGGATGGCTCCATAGAAGAGTAGCCATTACCCAACATTTGAAGCACATAGAACATTAAATGCTTACTAAAGACAATATCCACACTCATATATGCTTTTTCAATTTCCCATGGAGGGTAGATGGATAAAGCCTGCTGGATAGATTTTTTTTCAAGGTGCCAATGGTAAGGGATAGGGGCCGGGTCTATAAAGAAGATAAGCAAAACTCTGAACAACCTATGACTCTTCATAGGCTTTCCACATGGGAAGGAAACCACCTAAGGCTTATCAGGAGATCAGGTGAGAGAAATGCAACAATGTAGTTACTCTGAAACCTTCCCCCTTCCCAAAACACAATTAATATGTATTTCCACCAAAGTAATGCCAATGAAAATGCTAGTGTTAAGGCTCTGGCCAAGCTTGTTTTTTGGTAGTTTAATGTCAAGTGCCTGATACAGTCATCTGCAAGTCTAAGCAAGTGTGTTTAGTTTTTCTCATTCTTGTTTTAATGGGGAGAGGAGATGTAGAGGTGAGTGGTGGTCAAAACACGCACATATGTTATGCAGAAGGCATTGTATATGTCTGTTCTGCTGCAATTGTGCTCGGTGGAACAGAAGGAAAGTAAGCCTTTGTATCAAAAAGAGGCCTTAGTCTTTGTCCCCTGAAACCTGTGCCTCGTACTAGCTGATACATTCCACAGGTTGGGCAGTTCCTTCTCAAAACCCGGGTGGGAAGTATGGTTTGGGACTCCAGAAACTTCACAGCTGAGGATAAATGTAAGGTCCTGTTTCTGCATGGATCCAGTCAACTTGGTCTCAACATGGAGGTGCTAGCATGTTCTACTTATGTTGGAAGGACTCTTTTGTGAAAAGAGCAGAGAACCTCAAAGTGAGCAGTCAATCTCAAAGAAAGCTTATCACTGCCATTGCATCAGGAGTGGCTGTAAATGGAAAGCTGTAGTTGTGGTTGGCGCTTCTAGTGCCAGAGGGAATTATTTTCTCCTCTGTAGTTGTGTATGGATGTCATAAGCCCCATCAGTAGAAGGAGGGGAGTAATGGCTGAAGTTGAAGTGGGATATGGGTGTGGGGTCATCTTTTCCAATTTGACCCTGAGTCCTCACCTGGAACCAGCCCACCTCCCCTCCCCATCTACCCCCTCAAAATTTTTTAATTTTTATTTTTTTAAGATTTTATTTATTTATTTGACAGAGAGACAGCAAGAGCAGGAACACAAGTAGGGGGAGTAGGAGAGGGAGAAGCAGGCTTCCTGCTGAGCAGAGAGCCCGATGCGGGGCTGGATCCCAGGACCCTGGGTTCATGACCCGAGCCGAAGGCAGATGCTTAACAACTGAGCCACCCAGGCATCCCCTCAGAATTTTTTTAAAGTAAGGTTTAATCTCTTTGGAATCGCGGAAGGAACATAAAATTCTTCTCGTTGGCAAATTCACTTTTTTATCTTTTTCTCCAATAGTGAGAATGTTTTCTTTTTGTTTCACACAGGCTCTATTCCTAGAAACTTACACCCAATCTCCTCTTCTACTATCCAAAGATTCCCTTTTGATTTTAAGACAAATAAGTTTGAGCAGTTGCAGTAAAACTTCACAGGTGTGTAACTAGAAAAACAACATTTTCAAAAGATACCGTATGATGAGAACTCCTAATGATCACTAAAAGCAAACAAATAAAAATGCCTGTCTCATTTCCCTCATTTCTTACTTAAGAGAAGAGAAGTAAATGAAAGGAGGAAGAAATAGATTTGCAATTAAAAGATGGGCCAGAAAGACAGAGCTGAACCAATGCAATTTAGCCTTCAGGTGCAGGATCCTCGGAGTCCAAAGGAATGTGGAGTGGACTTAATTAGGCACCATTGTCTTCATCCTGAAAGTAAGCAGCTAAACCTCATTTCCAGTATTTTGAAATAGCTTCCTTTTGTTTCTTTCAATGGTGCCCTTTTAAAGGCATACAGTTGTTCCACGCCACTGAGTGGAGAAAGAAAGATTGTGAACCCTCTACTATTCTTCTAGGGCCACATTCTACGTTATTGGCAGATTTATAAGGATATCAATAATAGCAATGATAAGTAATAGCTGCCCTTGTGTTAGTTAAAGGGAGCATTTTTAATCATTCAAAAACTTTTGTGACATGTAAAGTGCAGTTGTGAGGAATGTGTGGGTGTACGAAAATGTATCTGTCAATTTCAGAGTCCTCTAGATTAAAAAAAATTATGACTTATCAATGGTGCCATTATAGCTGTGTCAGACGATGGGTGTGCCCATTCTCACAATTATCCTTGAAATAAATCTATGTTAAAGTGCTTTAAAAAATTATCACATGATACAAGAGTATAACTTCTAGAGTTCTTTTTCTTTTATTTTCTTTCTTATTTTTTCCTTCAAAAATCAATGAAGACTTGATTTCTGTCAATAATTGTATTAAGGGTGAATATACTACCTGAATTTTGTGCATGTTACATTGTAGTTGTAACCTTTTCTAATTCAGGATGAATACGAGATGGTTGTGATTGTGCAGTGTATCAATAAAGTTTGAAGAAATTTGTAACTTTTGGGGGGCTGTTTATTAGGACATCTTACTGAGTATCCAGGAATGGAGAAAAGCAGGCTATGCCTTTCCCATATGCTTCTCTCATATGTGTGTTTTAGGCTTTGGGGAGTGATGCAGTCAGAAAACTGAGTAGCCTCCTCTCTCTCTCTCTCTCTCACACACACACACACAGAGTAGAAAGCATTCTAGGTATTTTCCATATTATACCTATATATCT